GAGAACATCGGCCCTGATCCTCATGCTCCTGGATCCCCACTGCCTCGTGCCCTTTTTGTGAACGATGTAGGCTACTTGCCTGATGGCACACCGATGAATGCGGCCGGCAATGCCGTTAACCATCCTGAGACCATGGGACCTGATCCTCATTCTCCTGGCTCTCCATTGCCACCTTCTGCCTACGCTGCAGACATCGGATATCTTGTTGATGGCACACCTCTTGACAAGGCTGGCAACAATGCTGTGCACTAGTGAGTGTGACTATGCAGGGTTTGCCATTAGGCGTCAAAATGATGCCGCAAAGAGAATGTGACTGGAGCCCTTGTTTCATTTTCTTCTGCTTCTGCACTTGAAGTCTCAGAATGAGACAGTGCCTTCCTCAAGATTTTTACTCCTTCAGATTCCCAAGCTTCGCGGAACGTGAAGTCCGCCCCCCCCCTGGAACTTTCAGGGACAGAAAGGCAAATGTAAACAGTTATGGAAAAAGTTGCTTTTGTCATTTTTGGTTACCAAAAGTTGGCGCTTAAAAGTTGATTGCACAAATTGCTGACACTGTTTTGAAAGGATTTATGCTATTTATTAATTACTGGCATACACTTGATCACCTCCATGTTTTTCGCCGTTCGTCAGTCGTGAACGGCCCGCTCCGCGGATCGAGATCGAGCTGCCGCCATCGCGGAGCCAGGAGAAAGTCATGCCAGCCACCGGCCTCAAGGAGTTTGTGGCACAGGTCGGGTTCGACGCTCATGCGAGCCGGTTTAGGTCCGGGAGGCGGTGACGAGCGCAGACGAGCGCCATCAGTTGGAAGACCATCCAGGCAAAGCGAAATTGTACTCGTATCGCCCGGTTTAGGTCCGGGTTGGATCCTCAAACGAGTTCATCATAACTCATAGGCCCTAAAATGCCCTCGATTTGATAATCCCCAGGAGTCCAAGACTGTTTTTAAACGTGGTCTTTAGATGGTCCGAAAATGACTTTCCATTTGGCAATATGGTTTCGGTATGTCTTGGTACTTCTGGGGTGATGTTTTTCTTTTTGAAACTTCCGGCGCATACTTGCAGTATATGCAAACACCTTCCTCTTTACACGTTCATCCCATGAACTGATTTGACGTGCCCAGTCTCCTACTGAGCTGCTTCATGACACCCATCGGTAACCAATGTGGGAGCCGACGCTGGTTGTTTCATGTTGTTTCAATGTTTTGGCACGTGCGAGATAGTACAGAATGAAGTGAATTGGACATAAACTTGCCCCTGCCGCCAACTATGAACCTATAGCACACTGCATGGCGAGGTTGATGACTTTTCAATTGTCACGAAAGCTAGCATGCTAGCTGAGTTCTTCTTTGCTTTAGCAATGTTGTGGTGGGAGGGGCTGCGTGCCTTAAAGATTGATATATCAAGCTAACCCCCCCCCCCCGCGGTTCAACTCCCAGCTGCGCCG